TATGTCTTAGGCTGTGGAAGAATGTGACCCTTACCATGGCCTCTTGAACGACGATGAGGAGGACAACTCTGACAGTCATGGTGATGAACAGGATCATGTGTTGGGGTGTCCAAACAATCAGGACTCGTATTGGTCAGAGGAAGATCAAGAGCTGATAATCCCGTGCCTTGCGCTGGTGAGAGCGTCCAAAGCCTGCCTGAAGAAAGTCAGGGTCTCAGTGGCGGAGAACGGGAAGAAGGACCAGGTGACCCAGCTGGACGACATTGTGGATATTTCTGACGAGATCAGCCCGAGGTAAGGGTGAGCTCCACTTGAAATATCTGAGCAGCAGTTCTGATCTCTGCTTGTGTTGTCACCCCAGTTTCCCCCCCCACCCCCCCAGCTTTTTTATTTTTTTATTTTGAAAATCTTCAAACCTACAGGAAAGTTGAAAAAGTATTGCAGGGAGCACCCACACATATCCTTCACCTACATTCACTTATTATTCACATTATTTTCTGTATCAGTTTATTTTTCAATAGATTTATGTGCCATTTTTTCCCCCACTGAACCATTTGAGAGTAAGTTGCAGACATCAATGACATTTCACCTTTAAATACTTTTATTCTTATTATAGCCAAGAAATTTAACATTGAAAAAGTTAATATGATCTTATGTTCAGATTTGCCCAGTTATCTCTAAAATATCTCTTACAGAATTTTTTTAAAAAATATCTAAGGTTCTGTCTTGATATCACATTGCATTTGGTGTTTATCTCTTCAGTCTCTTGCAACTAGAATAGCCCCTGTCTTTTTCTTAATTGACATTAACAATTTAAAATAATCTTTGTAGAATATCCAACAATCTAAATTCCTATGACTGTTTTTTCATGATCATATATCCATTCAGCTTAAAGATTTTTTTGGCAAGAATAACATAGTTGAGTGGGTTGGGCTTCTCATCGCATCAGCTTGGGAGTCACATGATGTACGTCTGTCCCATTATTGGTGGCACTAAATTCAATTGGTTAAGTGGTGCCCACGTTGGTGGCATTATATGGATGAACCCCTCCTGTATTAGTTATTAAATTGGTGGTTTCAGATCCTCAGATTTTTTTTAAATAAATTGATTGTGTCTCCTCCTAATAAAACAGGGTATATATGTGTTCAGCAAATACCTGTTGAGTTGATTCTTTATTGGTTGCCCAATTTAAGGACCTTGTTAGACATTTCTGGGGCAGTCATTTTCTTACTAGTTTGCATCCTTAGTTGTGTACTAGAAACCATATAGCTGTGCTTTGTTTAGTTTTTTGTTTAATGGTTATTTTCACTTTCTGTCCTTAGTGTGGATGATTTGGCTCTAAGTATATATCCACCTATGTGCTACCTGACTGTGCGAATGAGTGTAAGTACCTGCATTGATAAACCTAATTGGTAGAATTTTACCAATCACTAGCATTTTCTTTAAGCTGTAGGAAATATATTTGTTACACTTGGATATAAGTACCACAGTAATATATTTCTTACATGTGTTTGTGCTGGATAAATATTTGCTGAATTATAAAAGCCATGACCTCTGGTAGTACTGTTTTCTATATCCACCTGGATAATCATTTAGAAAAACTCAAAGACCTTAGAAAATGCTTCTTTGAAGAGAATGTCTTAATTACTGTAGTGCTTTCAGATCTTCTCAACTGAAGTCACCTGTTTCTAATTTCTGCTATAGGCAGAAATAAGTGTTCCAGAAAAAAAAAAAAAAAACAGTGTTCTAATATAAACACATTATTTGATTTAACCATGAAGGATCAAGTTCTTTATAAAATCTTATTTTATTGTATTCTTTGAAATTCTGGGTTCTGTGCTAGAGAGAGTTCTATTTTATTTTTATAAACTCAAGTTCTTATCTCTAATGTTATTGAAAGGAGAAGTAAAACTATCAGATGGCTTTATTCTGTAATCAGATGTATCAATCCTAATCATATTTGATAAATAGTGGAAATTAGATATATCAAATGTATCTTCACTATATACAAACACCTTGAAGAAGAATAGGATTCTTTTGGGCATTAAATTTTTAAATTTGTATTCACTTTTAAAAACTGACTTCCTAAGATATAAACATTTTTAGCAATATACCTTCTCAATTACCTTGAATATAAATATAAAATATGTATTATATATTGATGGCATACATATATCCTCATCTTATCTTGTCATTGGTGTTCTTAAAATTCTATACATAGATTTAAAAAAAAAGAATTAGGATTTAAAAACATTTATTATTATTATTATTGATTTTAAAGAGAGAGGAAGGGAGAGAGAGAGAAAGAGAGAGAGAGAGAAACATAGCTTGGTTGCCTCCAATACGCACCCCTATGGGGGACCGAACCTGCAACCCAGGCATGAGCCCTGACCAGAAATCAAACTGGCAGCCTTTCTGTACACAAGATGATGCTCAACTGACTGAGTCACACCGACCAGGGTTATACATAGATTTTTAAAGAGAAAAACATTAGTTGTTTCTACTATATGTTTAGAACTATCAGAAGTTGGGACAAATTCAGGTTATATTCTTCCTTTTGCAGATTTTTTTAATTTAAAATATTTTTTTAAAATCTTGTAAAAGTGTTGCAGCAACAGTATTAATAAGATTTGGCTAAATAGTAAAGAATCCAAAATCAGGGTCAGCCCTTACCATAAAAATAAACTTTCTCTGTTTCTTTTCTAGGCTGCAAAACTTGTGTCTGTTCTCAAGAAGGCACTTGAAATTACAAAGTGAGTATAAGAACTTCTCTCCAAGTAGATTTTTGAGAATAAACCTATCCAGCCATTCTCAGCTCCCAAACCCCTATTTGAGGGAGTGGATATGGAGTTTTCTTTCAACTTCAGTTGTGGAGCAGCTGAGCTTCTGCAGAGAAACTTGCCTTTTCTTAATTTAGTTTCCTCTGTGCTTCCTGTTGAAGATATGTTTTCCCTTGACGATATAATAAATTTCATTTCTTTTTCCCCCCATTCCATTCACAGAGCCAGTCATGTAACCCCGCAGCCAGAAGATAGTTGGATCCCTTTACTCATTAATGCTATTGATCACTGCATGGACAGAATCAAGGAACTCACTCAGAATGAACTTGAATTATGAGTTTTCAGGCTCATTTATACTCTCTTCTTTTTCTTACTGTCATAGACAGGCTCTGATATCTGCTTTTAAAATGGGGCTAGATTATTTTCTGGTTTGAAAGGGAGTTTCTGTTTGATCAAGAGACACTATTACCAAAGATTGTTGGTTAGGCCAGACTGGCAATTATTTATAAAAATATTAGTATGATATATTTTTCTGTGCTAGCTACAAATGGCATGATTTTGTGTTCCTGAATTACCTCCCAAATATTCCTGGGGAAATTGCTCATCCCCTATTTGCAATAAAGTATATTGTTTCATTGTTAAAGATGTTGGCAATCTCAATAAAATACTAACATGAGTACTCTTCCAAAGTTTCTTTCTACTAGAAATACAGGTTGAAACTAAAACACTGCTTTCCTTTAGTCTTAAAATTCTGAAGTATACATAGAACAAAATATTCAGAAGTATACATAGAACAAAACACTTTAAAGAAAGTGACTCCAAAGCCCCTCTTAGTAATTGAGCATCTTACCTAATAAAAGAGATACATGCAAATTAACCATCACTCTGCTACACCCACAGCCAATCTGAGTATGCAAATTAAGCCAACAAAGATGGAGGTTAATTTGCTTATGTAGGAGTGATGTGAAGCCTGCTATGAGGTGAAGGGGGGCGGTGGAGGGAGCTACTGGAGTGGTGTTCAGGACAGAAGCAAGGACTTGCCAACTCCCGGGCAGCTAGGAGTGAAGCCAGGGGAAGGAAGGCTTATTCTTGCACAAATATCATGCCACCAGCCTCTAGTGTTCTATAATATCATTATTCTTATTAAGTCCTTCTGAATATTACAGATCACTCCATGCCTCTAAAATTATTTTGTGGTATTGAGCTCATTTGCTCACCTTACTGAATCAGATTTGGTTTTCTTATACATACCTGTATTGTTTTCTGTCATATATTACTGGTCCCCACATATAAATGCAAAATTAAAAGCAAAAAAATTTTTTAATCTTTTAGAGAGAGGAAAGGGAAAAAAGAGAAAGAGAAACATCAATATATTGCCTCCTGCACATGCTCCAACTAGCAATCGAACTTGCAATGTGGGTATGTGCCCTGACTGGCAATTGAACCCACCATCTTTGGTGAACAGGATGATATTCAAACCAATCACGCCATACCGGCCAGGGCTAACTACGTACACAATTTTTATAATCCAAAAATTTTTTTAATGTATAAGCTCATATAATTTTAAGTGTCTCTTTCGTTAAATGTTTTGCAAAATCATCACCATTTATTATTTTGTATCAGCCTAGAAGATTATATATTGGAAACACGGTAAACCTGTAGTTTTGCTTATTTTGTTGACCTGGCTTGGGCTTTAAGTATACACCGCAGTCTCACCAACCTCTTCTGCCAGTTCTTTTTCTTGTGTAGGTGTAATTCATCCCATCTGCCCTTCTGTCTTAGGAAGAAACAGCAACAGTAGCCATTCTTTTTTTTTTTTTTTTTTTTTTAATTGATTTTTCACAAAGAGGAAGGGAGAGGGATAGAGAGCTAGAAACATCGATGAGAGAGAAACATCTACCAGCTGCCTCTTGCACTCCCCCCCCCCCCCCCAGGGATGTGCCCACAACCAATGTACATGCCCTTGACCGGAATCGAACCTGGGACCCCTCAGTCAGCAGACAGACACTCTATCCACTGAGCCAAAGCGGTTTCGGCATTGTAGCCATTCTTTTGAGCACTAGTGAGTATGGGGTTGAAAGTCCTAAGGCAAGAGTTTTAATTTTCCTTTATAAAGTGTCATTCTGTATATTTAACAAATGTCATGAAGAAAAAGAACTAAATTCAAACTGAGAAAGTGCCAAAGCAACAAAATAATGTGAACAAAAAACACACAAAACATTACTTGGTTCAAAAGGAGTTCAGTTTGTTTTTTTTAATTCTTTCTTACAAGGCCTATTTTCTATATTCTTAATAATTTTAACATTTCTCTACTAGACCAAATTCATGTTATTAACATCAGACTTTAATTGTTGGATACTTAATACATATAGAACTCTCGTAAAACTTATCCATAGCTGAATCTAGAAGATCCTTCTACTCTTAGATCCTGTGTTCTGTATGTTATAACTTGGTTCAGTCATCTTTGAGATTTCAAGGATAATGGGTAGGGATAGCACCAATCAATGAAATATTAGGATTATCTAAAAATTCCATTTTTAGCAATTTCAAAAATATATGATTTAAATGTGAGGTTCTTTTCCTTACCTATAAGTTAATGAATGTGTTAGTGAGCACTAAAATGGTTATGAAAATCCTGAACCAGAAAAATCTGAAGGTATTCATCTGAGCACCTTTTTAAAGATCTTCTTTTATCACTCAAGCCCAGTAGTTTCTAAGGCAACTAGTCTTCACAGCCGCCTGAAGCTGGAATGACAGAAATGGGTGTCTTTTCTGTTGATTTCTGGGAATCTGGTTTTGTTTCACTCAGATCAGCTTGAATGGGGATTCATTTGCCTGGTAAGCAGTTTCCCTTCCAGCACGGGTGGTTTTAGAGCTTAGATACAGGGTGGTGGTGGGGGCAGTGGTGCTGGAGCTGCCGTTTAAGCTGCGAGTTCAGGGGTGACCACGGTGACACTCCTGTAGTTGGTTAGGTTCTGGAACATGTTGCAGTCCATTTCCACGTTGAGCCGCTGGGGCCCCGCCTTCACCGGTGTGAACCAGAACTGGGTGCACAAGGTGTTTCCTGGTCTCACGGGCCCTAATCTGAAATAAAGGAAAAGGCAAGTGCTAGTTCTGTCCCAGGTTGATTTTGCTGGTCCCAGTGACTCTGATCCTTTCCTACCAGAAGAGGTGGATCATGACCCAAGTACCTAGCTGTTGGAACAGGAGGTTTGAAGGTGGTAGAAGACGGGAGCCTCCCTATGGTGAGCAATTTCATGGTTGAGAAGGGAAATTCTATTCTAAGGGCTTCCAAGCTGCCTCTGTTGTTTCTTTTACCACCTGTGACTTTAGTCTGGTCCCAGTCTCAGTCACAGTATTGGAGTATATTTGGAAAAGCTATAGCTTTGGGACCAGATGAAGAAAGAAGATACTTGCAGCATTTAAAACCAACAAGGGACTAATACCTAGACTATCCAGGCCACTCCTACAAATCATCGAGGAAAAAAGGTGGGAACACCAAAAGAAAAGTAGTCAAAGACCTTTAGAGAGGAGTAAATGAAAAGGCTAATAAACACGAAGAATTAAATTAAAACAATAATGAGACATTACCTTATTTCCATTAGACTGAAAAAAAGAGAAGGTTGGGTATTGCCATGAGTAGAGGAATAGTAGGAATATAGAAACTGTCCTGGAGTGCTGGAGGGAGGGAGGCTTCTGCAGCCATTCTGCAAAGAACACTGATAGTACCTGGTCAAACCAGGGCATAGCCTATGACTCAGCAATTCTATTCCTGGGCATATATATCCTATCCTTGCCCACCAAAGTTTCAAACAAGTATTATACATAAGGGGACATGTGGAGATGTTCATTGCAGCATTATGTGTGGTGTTTGAGAGTTGGAGGTACTATGGGTACCATCACTGTGAAGTAGAGGGGTAGGTAGCAGGGGATGTGCAGTTGTATTATGTAGCAGAAACAATGGACTGGATGTATGTGGATGAGTCTTAAAAACATAGATCTGAGTGAAAAGTAACAAAAAGAATTAGACATAACATCACTTATACAATTTAAAAATATAAGCTCAGGCCCTGGCCAGTGTGGCTCAATTAGTTGGAGTGCTGCCCTGTGCCACTGAAGGGTCACAAGTTTGATGGGTCACAAGTCAGGGCACATACCCGGCTGTGGGTTCAATCTCTGGTTGGGGAATGTTCAGGAGGCAACTGTCAATGTCTCTCTCACATCAGTGTTTCCCTCTCCTTCTCCCTCTCGCTCTAAAATAAAGATAAAGGCTCAGGAAGCAATAGTGCACATTTTACACATACTAACAAAATAATGAGAAGTGTGATTGGAATGGGAGTAGGGAACAGGGATAAAAGAGAATATTGAAACAAAATTCAAAATTGTGGTGGGCTTTAGCAGAATGGAGCTTTCGAGAGGCAGCCTCCCCGTGATGTTCTCTAGTACCCAGTCCTCACCCTGTCACCTGCACTCACCAATATTGAGGCTCTCCCTGCATGACAGGGCAGCAACAGGGGCCAGGTGGGTGCCTGAGGGGCACACAGCCTCCCTCACTGCTGTCCCCGTGGGATGAGATAGGCCCTAACCTCTTAGCTCTACTTCAGGGCATATTTGCTCTGTCTCCATGGACACCAAAAAGACAGTTATTAACCTTGGGTGCAGTGTTTCTCCAGTTGAGATGTGTCGGTGGGTTGAAAAGCTTGTGGTTTCTTACCTGTAGCTCCTCTTTCTGTGAATGAGCCCCCTTCCGAAGACGGAGATCACACAGTCCTTCAGGGGAGCGTCCAGGGAGTTATGGATGCTGACTGAGGCCTTAAGAGGCTTATACTGCTCTGCTGCCTCTGGCATCTGTGGCAAGAGACACAGTTACTCCTTCCCCTCCTGGGCACACTCCCTGTTCCCTCCATTACTCTCCTATCTCTGCCATCCTGACCCAAACACCTCAGCTGACTTCTTCACCCCTCTGCCTGATCTTCCTGCATTTACCCTCACACCAGATCCCTCACAGACCGTGTCTGACGGTGCCTCTCCTCCACTTAGAGGCCGTGGAGGGTTTCCCATCATCTCCAGAAGGAAGCTTCAGTTGGCATTCAGAACCCTTCATGGTTTGACTCCAACCCACTTCTCCAACCTTATTTGCTCTTCCCTTGACTAAACAACATTCAAGACACGTCAGGTGCTCTCCCATCCCCAGCACACCTCTCAGGCTCCTTCCTTTAGGCCTCTTCTTCTCGCAATGGCCTTCCCCCACCCCTGCACTGGAAGCCTACCCATTTTCCCCAGTGTATATGCCACCTTCTCCACGAAGTCTTCCTCAAACTAATCAGATGGAATTAACCCCCTTTACCTCACTTATCCCATAGTGACCTTGTGGCTCTATTAAAGCATTTACATAGAAGACCAACACTGTGTCTCCCTTTCACCAACTATAACTTCTTTAAGGGCGTGGACCAAATTGCATTAATTTTGGCCAGGGTAGCCGTGGAAAGATGACTGGATCAAGAGCCATCAGTCTCCAAAATGTCCCATTATTATGATCTTGGGCCTATTGCTCTGTAGGAGAGTTTCCTCATCTGAATAATGGGGACAGTTCCACCTCGCAGGGCTTTTGAATGAAAAGCAATGAGATGAAAATACATTGCCCTATGCATAAAGTGCTAAATAAACACAGGCAATTATTATCCCTATAAGTGTGGAGGCAACAACTGGCGAGGACCAACCTTTACCTAACCACTTAAGAAGTTGGAAGATTGAAACCTGAAGAGCACATGTAAGAAACCATCTCTTTCAAGGCAAGGAGCTCTCAACATAGCATTTTCCAGTGGTCCTGCAGCAGCCACCTGCACTGAAGTGGGATGGCCTCTGATTCTTTCTGAAATGGGGACCTGAGTGGTAAGTGCATGAGAGCAATTTGGGGAAAGACTGATGCCTACCTCAATTTCAAGGTGTGGTCTACAAATGGCGATGTCTTCCTGAGCAAAGCAGCTAAGGCTGGACTCTGAGTGCGTTGCCACAGCAGTAAGTCTGAGGAAGCTGTTCTCAGGTGGGCTTCGCTCAAAATGGGAGAAGGACAGGCTGGTGGTGATTCTCCTGACTGAGATTCGTGACAGAGGAGTCAGTGCAAAAAAGCTGAGTGCTCGTGCCCCGGAGACAAGCAATGGTTACACACAGAATGCAGAGGAGTCAGGATCTCGCTGAAGCCAGAAAGGAGCCTCCTCCCTCACAGCAATTTCAAATTGAAACTCATCCAAGAACCCACCCCTCCCCCCCAGCACCACCTTCACTAACATGTTTGGCAGACCACCTCCTCGGGGTTGTGGACACAGTCCCTGTGAGCTAGAGCAAGCTAAGCTCTCTTGGCCTGTTTCTTTGTCTAATAATACCTACCTGGTGGGATGGCTTGTGTTAAAGGAGACACTGCAAATGAAGTACTTATCTCAGACCCCGCCACACATTGATACTGAATATATGCTGACGTAGTTCCTTCCCATTCTCTGCTTCTTCTCTTTCCCCTTTGCAGAGAAAATGAAGCCATCCTTCATCCCTGAGGAATCCTTTCAAGCTCCTGTTCCCATCCCCAAACGACAGACATAGACACACACCCTAGCTCTCACTGCTCCCCTTGCGGGGTGATGGGTCCCCCCTGCGCAAGTCCAGTCCTCTGTTTTTACAGTCTATGCTCCATCCTGACTCTACCAGTGCCTGCCTGTGCAACTTTGGGTGAATTATTTAACCTCTCTGTGTCTCTGTCTCCTCATCTGTAAAGTGGGGATAATAATGGTTCCTGCCTCGTTAGGTTGTGAGGATAAATGAGCCAATGCACATATAGCACTTAACATACCATGTTTGTCACTAATAAAGGCCCAAAAATGTGAGCTATAATTGTTCTTGTTGTCTCTCATTTCCCCAAGAGTTGCACCATCAATTAAAACCCACCTCTTCCTGGGTGGAGGTGGGCAATGGGTGCGGGGGTGGGAGAAATGGCAGATATCTCCTATAGTGTCAACAATAAAATAATAATAATAATACAATAATAAAAGCCATGGCCAGTGTGGCTCAGTTGGTTGAGAGTCATCCCATGCACCAAAAGGTTACTGCTTCAATTCCCAGTCAGGGCACATGCCCAGATTGTGAGTTCGGTCTGCATAGGAGAGGCAACCAATCAGTGATTCTTTCTCACATCAATGTGAGATTTATAAATTTTTTTTAAATGTTTGGCTCCAACCATGGAATTTCTGATTTAATTGGTCTGGGGTGCAGGCTGAGCATCAGATTTCCCTAGGTGATTCTGACTGTAGGAACATTTGAGAACAACCGCTCTTGTCCAGGAAATTTCAACCCTAGAATAACATGGGGAGGTTGTTTTTTTTTTTTAAAAAAAAACACCAATCAATGCCTGGGCCCCACCCCGGACCAATTAAAGAAAAATCTGTGGGAGGAAGAACCTGCACACATGTCGCTCCTCTGCCGGGAATGCCCGTGACTCACGTTTCTGTCCATCACTATCCTGTCACCCTTAGGACCCAGTGCCGCCTGATTTGCTTGGCGGCAGCCTGTGCTCGAGCCTGGGTGCAATGCTCCCCTGCCGTTCCATTCTGTTTACCTTGCCAAACACTTACACTGCTGCTATGGCCTGTATACTTATCTTACTGCAATCAGAATTGTGGGATTTTATTTTTTCTGTATGAAGCACAATAACTAGATGGATAAATGAGAGAGAGAGAGAGAGAGAGAGAGAGAGAGAGAGAGAGAGAGAGAGAGGGAGGGAGGGAGGGAGGGAGGGAGGGAGGGAGGGAGGGAGGGAGAGAGAGAGAGAGAGAGAGAGAGAGAGAGAGAGAGAGAAGAAGAAGAAGAAGAAGAAGAAGAAGAAGAAGAAGAAGAAGAAGAAGAAGAAGAAAAAGAAGAAGAAGAAGAAGAAAAAAAAACAAAAAAAACAGGAGCTAGAAGCCACCCACTGAGACCTGCAGGGGAGCCTCATGACTGCAGTCTGCCCTGGGTGGGAACTGGGGGTCTGGGATCTGGCAGGGCCACAGAGAGTTACCCAGGTTGGCGCTGAGCGTAAGGAGCAGCTTCTCCCTCCAGAGCTCAGCAGCAAGGGTGCCGTTGTAGTACACGGCCTGCACCCCAATGGCCAGCTGCACAGCCTTCTCCTGGTCACCGGGGTTAACCAGGGTCACGGAGAACTGGGCATCCCCTCTCAGGGGTAGGGAGCTGGGTGCTTCCAAGAACAGGTACAGAGGATCAGCAGTCTCGAGACTGGGAGGACGAATGCCGTTGTCTGCCCCATGCTCCAGTTTCTCTTTCTGGACTCTCTCCAGCACCTCTTTTTCTTGAAGAGATCCTGAAGAACAGAAGAAACAAAGCAGGCCTCTTACCCAGCAGGTATAGGCCCTTCTAATAAAAGCCCAGGACTAAGATTTATTTACCCACGGCTGCTCAAATGCCAAAGTCACGAGAACTTTGCAAATCTCTAAGGGCATATTTAACTTAAAAAATAAAATAAAAAAGTCTGTGTTCGGCACAGACACAGCAAGTCCCTTCCAAGTCACTCAAGGATTGAGTTCTTTTTCAAGTGCCATGAATCTGCCCCTTTGAACAATTGGGAGAGCCAGCTTTTGGACAATTCACACTGTCTCTGAGGACAGTTTGGAAGAGACTTAAACCTTTCTAAGTGAAGGAGTTTGAACTTATTCCAAGGGCAATGGGGGCCATGGAATGTTCAAGAGCAGGGGTAGTAAGATAATACTTGTGTCTTAGAAAGCTCACTCTGGAAACGGAAAGTTTGGAAATGGAATAATGATGGAGAGACTGCAGGCAGGGGGTAGTTAGGCGATCACTGGAATATTGTGGATAAGAGATGACGCCCTGGGTTACCCATAGGCCAGTGGGCGACAAACTCATTAATCAACAGAGTGGCAAACCGTGGCTCGTGAGCTGCATGTGGCTCGAGAGCCGCAGTTTGCCGACCACTGATATAGGCAATGGAGAAGGAGACATGGAGCCACATGTGGGAGTAATGTGGGGCGGTGAAGGGGAAAAGACGAGAGTGCAGGCCTTACTAATGGAACAAATAGGTAGACAGTAGTGCCATTAACCAATATGGAAGCAGGAACAGGTTAAGAGGGACTGGATAAGCAGGAGAGAGGAAGAACATCTTTTGGCAGCTGGGTTTAGTAGTACGTGTGTTGTTTTGTAGCAAAACTGGGGGCAATTTTGCCTCTCAGGAGACATTCGGGAGTGTCTGGAGACACTTTTGTTTGTCACAACTGGTGGAGGTGGTGATTGGTGACGGAGGGGTGCTAGCATCTGGTGGAGAGAGGTCAGACATGCTGTACAGGCCATCACAACGGAGAGTCACCTGGCCCAAAATGTCACTATGGCAAAGGGGACTGAGAAATATGATGGGGTAAGAACTGCAACTCTCCATGGCCTGCATCCCCCTCTTTTGCTATTTCAGGAGCTGAGAAGCCTGGGGCCTCCCCTGGCAGTACCTTCGGGATACTTGTAGTTCTGAGTGATGTCCTCACAGCGGTCACTGCCCACACCTTTGGTGCTGATGTTGCGGCCCACATACTTGGTGTTGGAGTTGGTCAGCTCCAGGGTCCCATCCTCACAGCACTTCCAGACCACGCACGAGGCATTTACCGAGGCAAAAATGTCTGCTACTCCAGGGGTCAGCCCCAGGGTCCCCTCCTTGACCGCTCTGACAGGGACCAGATCACAGGCCTTCAGGACTAAGGGAGAGAAAGGTCAGTGGGCAAGCGGAGCCACAGCCAGACCTCTGCTTGGGCCAGGGCTCCATAAGCTCAGTTCCCATCCTAGTCCCCATTTTCCCTCCCTGGGGGTTGAGGGCAGAGATGGGCACTGAGCAGGGTTTCTAAGAGGGCATGCAGAGGGGAAACAACGTTTAGTGGCAATAACGTTGGTAATGGTCTGTGGCAGGAGCCCTTTCAGAAACTGGACCGATAGAATCCCAGGAAGACACAGTACACGGGTTTCTAAGCCAGCTTCGCTACGGATGTGATAGGACTGGGTCACTGTTCTCTTGCGGGGGAAGGAAAAACCATCTTTTTATGGATCCTAAAGACCTTTTCTGAGCTTCAATCCAGATTCCTTCGATGAGTCTGAACCTATTTTAATACCTCTTCATCCATACCCAGAATCTCAGAAACCCCGTGACAAGCCCCTGACCCGGCCCATCTACCAGCTCCCTAAGACCCTCTGCCTGTCACTGAGGCCCGCTCTCCCCCTGTTGCTCTGAGGCGGGGCTCGTCTCCCCACAGCCTTGGGCTGGGATGGCGGACACCTTTGTCCCCTTGAGCCCACTGGCATCAGGTCAGCATTCTGCCAGTCACCATCATTCTCTCCACTTTTCTAGCTTTAGGGAATGCAAACCCCGTTTGGATCATCTGTTGTTCCTGTTTCCTGTCCGAGGGACTCCTTCAGTCCAGGCACCCCGTGACCCTGAGGCCTCCCGCTGCTCCTCCAGGTGTTTTTTTGTTTTGTTTTGTTTTGGTTTTTTTTTTTTTTTACCTGCACCTCCCTTACGAGCACTTGGGTACAGAATCTGCCATCCACGGTAACCCTGAGGCAAATCAGGCCGGGCCATCCAGCACTCTGTGGAAGTCTGGAAGATCCTGAAGGTAGCAAAAGAGCCATTTGAGTATAAAAAAAAAGAGGTTCCCAAAGAGGTCCTAGAAATAGCGGTTGCTGTTGCCATGGGGATGGGCGTTGGTGTGTACCATACAAGTGGCTATAACACCAGGAAGGAGCGTGCCTGCCACGACTGATCCTCAGCGCCCTGCCTCCTCTGTGCCTGGGCCGCTGGGGCGGTGGGTTCCCAAGGGGTGCAGCCCCTCCAGCCTGAGACTCCCTCCCCCTGCCTGGGCCGCTCACCAGATCCTGCCTCGCTGGCCCTCTCCGTTCAGGAGGCCCTCCTCGCTGTAGTACTCGTCCACCAGCAGCCCCCCGCCCGTGCCCTGGGCGGAGGAGAAGGCGGTCACGGCGCGCGCAGGGATGCCCAGGGCCCGCAGCGCTGCGGGGGAGAGGCGCGGTCAGCGGGGCCGCAGGGCCTGGGGTGTGGGGCAGGGGAGGGGAGGGGTACGGCTAGTGTTTCCGGGGTCTCTTCCGGGCAGGCGCTGTCCGAAGTGCCTGGGGACAGCGTGGAAAGAGGAAGGGCACATGCACCGGGAAGTTAGAACTGGCACCAGGCACAGGACCTGGAAATGCGGGGCAGCAGGTCACGGGCAGGTGGAGTACGCTGCGGGGGGCGGCAGGGGGAGTTTCGGGGTGAAAGTGAGTCTGGGAGCAGCGTTCCCCAGATGAGCCTCACTTTGCTGAGCAGGAAAAGGAGCCGCAGCCTGTCCGGAGGAGCTGCCCTGAACAAATACCGGCTTCTTGGCCGGATGGAGCGGCCGAGCCCGTTATGGGTGGGAAGGAGGTGAGGCCATGGGGCGGGGTGGGGGCAGCACCGGCTTTTGGAGATGCCTCTCCCACAGGGGGCCGCAGAGCAACCCCACGGGAGGACACTCTGTCCGGGGGTCCCGGGGGTCCCGGTGAGCCGGATCCGTACCTGTGCAGGCAACAGCGGCCAGCACCCAGGCCTGGCCGGCACCCACCGGCCGCCCGTGGCCGGTGCACCACCGCCTCAGGATGGGCGCGCTGCCCCGGCGCTTGCTCAGCCAGGCCCCCTCCGCGGCGTCCTGGGCCTGCGGGGCGGGCAGGACGCTCTTCTCCTGGAGGGCACGCAGCTGTTTGGGAAACACGTGGCTGTTGTGTGGGTCCCGGGATGGTCAGCTTCCGGGTGGGATTGGGGGTAGCGGTGAGGGGGTGGCGGTGAAGGGGTGAGGTGAGGGTGAGAGGGTAAAGTGGGGTGGGAAGTGAGGAAGTCTCATCGCCCGTTTTCCAAGGGTGGTGAACAGGCATCTGCATCAGAATGACCTGGACCACGTTAAACCCGCATGTTCCACACTAGCTCACTAGGTTACCATCTTTTTTTTGGGGGGTGGGGTGGGGGGTTGGGGTGAGGGAGGCGCTGGGAGGAGTCCAGGAACTGACTTTAATATATATATATATAAAATATATATTAAACCGGTTTGGCTCAGTGGATAGAGCATCGGCTTGCGGACTGAAAGGTCCCAGGTTCGATTCTGGTCAAGGGCATGTACCCTGTTTCCCCGAAAATAAGACAGTGTCTTATATCAATTTTTTCTCCCAAAGTTATTGATTTCGGAAAGGAAGGGAGGAGGGAGGGGCAGAGGGATAGGAAATTAATGATGAGAATCATTGACCAACTGTCTCCTAAACGCCCCCTACTGGGGATCTTGCCTGCAACTGGGGCCTGTGCCCTGACTGGAAATTCAACCTCCTGGTGCACAGGTCAACAGTGAGCCATGCAGGCTGGGCAGGAATCCACCTTTTTAACAAGTCCCCTAGATTGAGTGTTTGCGACCACACTGGCAAAGAAAGCCACGGAGCAGCGAGAGTGGCCCCCCCTGGGGCTGGGTTCCTGCTCCTTCCCTGCCTGGCCCTGATTCCTTTGAGGGTGTTGGCCCTCGTAGCCTACCCTTCCTCCTTCTCACAGGCTGGCTCTGCCCCTCACCACACCTTCAGGGGTGAGTCCAGTGGCACCAGAGGAAATGGGGACACATCCCTCCTGTGAAAGGACTTTTAGGAACCACTGGAAAGCACCAAGCTGCCATCGTGGTCTGCATGTCCTTAGGAATAATTTACAAATGAAAACAGGTCCCTCTGACCACCTTAGCCGCCGCCGAATAAGATGGACCCCACTCGCCGAAACCGGTTTGGCTCAGTGGATAGAGGGTCGGCCTGTGGACTGAAAGGTCCCAGGTTCTATTTTGGTCAAGGGCATATACCTTGGTTGCGGGCACATCCCCAGTGGGGGGCGTGCAAGAGGTAGCTGAGCGATGATGTTTCTCTCACACATTGATGTTTGTAACTATCTCTCCCCCTTCCTCTCTGTAAGAAATCAATTAAAAAAAAAAAAAAAAAAAAAGATGGACCCCACTCCCTCCCTTCCAGAGACCCAGGCCTCCAGTGTGGGCTCTGAGGACATCCAGGCCAGGTTTAGTCCTTGCAGACTTGTGTCCTGGAGGATGATACCTCCCTTTGTCCCCCCTCCCCACCCACTATGGCTGCTACTGTCCTCCCCTCCATACTCACAACCTTCTCCAGGAACTACCCCCACACTCTGGGAAGAGGGCACTAGTGGTGTTTTGCAGGTACTCAGGGTCACAGGGGAGGGGGACAGCCCTGTTAGAGGGCTCCCGCTTCCCTCTCACTCACCACAGCGCCCAAAACGAGGGCCACATGCACAGGGTTGCCCCACTCCTCCACTTGCTCGTCCATGCTCAGCAAGTCCAGGCTGAGGTCCAAGACATCCCCCTCAAACTGGAAGGACCACACAGAGCAGTGAGGAAGGGTCCCCATCCCACAATTCAGCCCCGGCACCTCGTCCTCCTCTTAGACTCAGCTTCCCTCCTTCCTCCCTTGCCTTGTCCCCCTGTGCCCCTTGGCCCCTGCGCCTGGCGGTCCAATCCTTTGCCTGTTCTGTTATTCGACTCTCCCGATACGGTGTGAACGCGTGAAGACCAGGCCTGTGCTGTTCCCTGTCATTTCTATCTTTATCCCTTTGGCGCACTCCTGCCGCTCCTGCTGGCACTGACCCTGGCACTGACCCGCATGTGGAGGGCGCCAAGGCAGCCCCTGCGCTTGAAAAGCCCACAGGGAGCGGGGGAGGGGGGCCGCGTAGCCTCTTAGACCACAGGCCTCAGCAGCGTGGCCAGGGCGCTGGGAGACATCCCAGCACAGAGCAGAGAGATTCTCTCTGCCTTTGGGGCGGAGGAAGGCTTTCCGAGGGTCTTAAAAGCTGGGCAGGAGCTTCCCAGGTGATATCGAAGGGAAGCTATTCCAGGTGGGGAGGGGGGCACACTCAGCCCGCATGCCCAGGGGCTGGCTGGTCAGGGGGCTGGCGCATGGGTGGCTCTGGAGGAAAGGAAGGCAGTGGCCTGGCTGTGAAGGCTTATATCCTGTGGACAGTGTGTGTGTGTGTGTGGGGGGGGGAGGTTAATAGAGGGCTTTGATTGGTGTGATCTTGAAGAAGATAAATCTAGGAGCTGTGGAGGATGGTCTGATAAGGCCCCGAGGAAAGAGCGGTCGGTCCCACATGGCTGAAATTTCCTACACATGTTGCCTCATGACCAGGGGCTTCTGGAGCTGCCATTTCTGTCTGGCCTGAACACTAAAGGCTATGGGACAAGCACTGTCTCTTCCCCTTCCCCAGAGGCCCCCGTACCTGGCCGAAGTCCCAGGGCTCTTCCTGGATGCAGTCCGCCGTGCCCAGGTAGATGAGGCCGTTCTGGTTCAGCACGTACTCCCAGCGCTGAGCCTCATTCTCCAGGAACACAGCGTCCTCTGGGGAGAGGCGGGCAGGAACGAGGGCCTGTGAGGGGCTGGGCCTGCTCTCCACATCCTGGCCTCTGCCCTCCCCGCCCAGGTCACTTTGGGCTGCACATCTCCCCTTCAGCTCTGGGCTTAATGAGGACTGAGGGAGGACTTCGTCTGTTCACTGGCCCCTCTGGGACCTGGCCTCCTGGATGGAGAGAGGGGGCAGGGGGCAGACCAACCTTAAAAATCCTACTAGCTCCCAGAAGACATCTGTAGCCAGAATGCTACTATCCCAAGAGAATTTGCCAACAACCCAGGGATCTTCCCCGTGGGCCTGTTATGTCTCTCTCCCAAGTTTAATTTAAACAAAATAGTGTTTAGAAAAAAAACAATACAATGTAGGTTGGCAGAGGGGAGCAGAAGGGAAGAGCAGCATTTGGCAAGACAGGGTGAGAGGGAGCAGTGGGGCTGGCAAAGTGAAAGCCAGAGCATTGGCTTTCTGCTCTGCGGCTGTGCACGTGGGCCTGGGGCTCCCACGGCCTCTTGTGGGTGCCTTTCCCTCTGTCCCATCCAGGGGGTGGGCTGGGGAGGAGGACGGGGGCTTTGAGGAGTCCACTGCCCACCCTAAGAAGCTGGACACTGCTTCTTTGGCAGTCACTGCAGACGGAAGTGTGTGGCCCAGGTTGCAGGGCTCTGGGAAATAGGTGACCAGATAGCACTATCCTCTTGTCCTCTGCTTGGGTGCAGCCCCCCTTTGATAAAGTTCCCTGCTTGTGAATAGGGCTCTGACTTTCATTATAGGATGTAAAATTTCCTTTAGAATTCAGGAAAGCCCCAACCCCAGGTATCCAAGATGAGACTGAGTCCCAGTTAATCTCCGAAAATCTCTTTATCACCTCCCAGTGAGCAGAGCAAACAACGCACTCCTGCTCAGTTAGACACGCACACCTACACATGCCTGCACACACACCTACACACGCCTACACACACACCTACTCACGCCTACACACACACACACACACACACACACACACACACACACAGGCTGTCCCTACAAGCCAACCATGACTGGATATAAGTTCCCATCTATTATTCCACCTCTCCACCCTGCTTAGCACAAAGAGAGCTTCGAACTGAGGAAGGAGGGGGATTGGAAACCAGAGAAGTAGAGACAGGGAGCCAATGGGGATTCAGGTACCACATGAGAAGGGAGTCAGGAACTGGAGATGGAGCTGCAGGCATTTGGGAAGATTTCTTCCAATTTCCTCCCATTTCCCAGCTCTGCCTTGTAAGGAAGTCTCCGCATTAAGGTGGGCAGTGGCAGATTTAAAACGGAAAGATAGCAAACCCACTCTCAAACTGGCCCACGTCCACTGAGACACATACTTTTCACTTCTTCCACAGCTTTGCCCTGACCCTGGCTGCCTTCTTTATCTCTACCTAAATAAAACTTGCTTTATCCCAAAGGGGCAGGGGAAGGAAAGACAGACTCAATCATCAGAAGAATAGATGATTGTTGGCTCCTGTTGGGGCCAAATACCGATGATCTTTTCTAGATGAAATAGCTCCCACAGCCTGGGCTGATGTCTGCCAGAGGAAAGCCCACCCATTGGGCGCTGAGCTCCAGGAGGCGGGCCCTGCAAGCTGAGGCTCACGCGGGATATTTCCAAGCCTTCCTTTGGAGAGAACCCAGCAGTCTTCAGCAGTGAGAACAGAAGAAAAGTGGAGAGAAGCAGGACAGATTTAGTGCGAAGCTGATGGAACTGAAGCTTTGGGCCCCTCACTAGCACAGACCCTCTTCAGGCCCTGGGAGGGACCTTAGCAATTCAAAAATTTGCGTTCTTTTTCTTTAAGAGGCTTTCCCCAAATTATACAAACCTCAGTTTTCACAAAACCTGGGTTCACCTGGAGATAGTCTATGGGAGGCCAAGGGGGTAACAGAGAAGCTTATCCCTAAGTTCTTGCCCTTTTACAATAAAGGGCAGCTCTCCGGGGTCATCTCTGAGTCGTATGTCCTATGACCAAATAGCCTGAGCCAACACCAGAGTTTGGCAATGAGACAACCCTTTGCTTCCAGTGTGGAGCCCCAGGCTGCTTCCGCCAGGGGTGACACCGAAACAGGACTCTGGATCTGAGAGGCCATTCATCCAGGAAGCAGACTCCCCAAGAATGAGCTGCCCAGAAGTTATCCACTGGGGCCCCGGGCAGATGCTCCCTGACAGAGCTGCACCCACCTCCTGTACCTTGAGTACCCTGTGCAGCCCAGCCTGACCCAAGCCCAAACTTACCTCGAACCCAGGGGTTAAAGAGCAAGGTGAACTGGCCTAGGAGGCGTGGCTTCCTGCGTGAGACCTGCAGCAGGAGTGAGTAGTGCCCAATGACAGCATCGGAGGGCGTGGTCACAGAGATGGTCCAGGCCTGGGCATCTCTCTCCTCCACCTGCGCACTCCAGCTCTTCCGGTTCCCCAGACTGGAAATTGGGAAGGTGGCTTGGGTCCTGTTGGCCTTGGAAGGCTGCTCTCCTGCAGTCACAAATGGCCAGACGAATTGGTCATTGGGACCACTTGGTCACAACTGAGTAATAGAGTCATGTATAATAAAGTTGGAGCCGTTAAGAAATTAGTTTGGGAGGAGAATAAGAGGCCCATCCATTAATGGGAGGCAATAGAAGGTGGTGGGAGCACATAAGTTCTCATGTGCCCATGGATCTACATTTAGATATTTCATAGTCTATAACCAGGGCGTGGTAATAATACCTGTTTCAGAGTGTCAATGTGATGAGATGCTGCATGTTAATCCCTTGGCCTAATATCGGACATGTATACAGATCCAATAAATAGTAACAATTAAATGTGACATTGAGCCTGGATTAGATCCCATCCGGCTTTTCTGCAGAACTGATATTATATTTGCAACCAAAAGGAAGCCCTGTCTGATAATGCTGCGAAGCAACCTCTGAACCCTACTAAACAAGACTTAACTCTGCACATTCTCTTCCTTCACAACAGCCCTGCTGGGTGGGGAGAACGTCTTGAGGTCCAAGTACCATATAGACCATTTGTCCCTTAGCTCCCTGAGAGGGTGATGAAGAAGAACCCTCCAATCCTGCTGCCAATGGGGTCCAGGCCTGCTCCACTTACCGGTTTGTGCAATGAGGGCCACCTTCTTTAGGGCAGGCAGATATGCGAGGACCGGATCCTGGAAGTGCAGCCTGATGGAGAAGGGCTGTCCCCTCCTCACAATGAGGCGCCTGGAGCTGATGTCCTTGGTGTGGTGCTCCTCATTGTTTCTTGCTGCCTGGAAGTCGCAGCTCTTGATCCCCAGGGCTGTGTGGAAAAGAGAAAGCATGGAGACTAGGTAATTGTGACAAGTAAGGAAAAGCAGAGACTCTGGAGTCAGCAAGACCAGGGTTCAAAAATCCTTGGCTCAACTTACTTACTAGCTTGCTAAGGCAAGTAACTACTATGACCATCTATTTTCTCTCCCCTAGAATGATCACTCCTCCTTGTAAGGTTGTGGAAATTAAATAAAGTAATATATACAATAGCGGTCCCCCCACCCTCCCTTATCCCTAGAGGATACATATCAAGACTTCAGTGGATGCCTGAAACTGAAAATAGTACCAAACCCTATAGTATACCAGAGATTTTCAACCGGTGTGCAATAAGAATTTTTTTAAATGTGCAAAACCTGACTATTTAGTCAGGGGCACTGACCTCTTTTCCCTAGATTGTCAAAGAAAAAAGTGAACACAGCCAGCACAACAATAGCCATCCAGTGTGAATAAACAAAAATTATACCTAATTTTTGTCAGATCGACAAAAAAATATATTTTTGGTGTGCCAGAGATTTTTAGAATTAGTTTATGTGTGCCATGTGATGAAAAGGTTGAAAATTGCTGCTATATGCTATATTTTTCCTATACATACATACTTATGATAAAGTTTAATTTATAAATGTGTCACAATTAGAAATGAACAGTAACAATTAATAATAAAATAGAACAATTATAACAACATACTGTAATAAAAGTTATGTGAATGGTTTGGGGCCATTATTAAGTAAAATAAAGGCTAGTTGAATGCAAACAATGTGATACAACAAAAGTCTATCTGATAACCGAGATGGCTACTAAGTGACTAAGGGGTGGGTAGCATATGCCATGAGTAAACTGGACAAGGGGATGATTCACATCCCAGGAAGCACATTGTGTGAGATTTCATCCTGCTACTCAGAAAGGCCCACCACCTAAAACTTAAGAATTGTTTACTGCTGGAATTTTACACTTAATATTTCCAGATCACAGTTCACCATGGTAACTGAAACCACAAAAGTGAAAACATTGATGGGGGACTACTGTAATACACTTAGCTTAGAGTCAGACACATAAGTCCCATTAAATGAAACAGTAATTATTATTATTATTATTATTAATAATAATAATAAGAGCAGTGCTTGTTCTCATTGTTGACCCCCTTTTCTTTCCCAATCCTAAAGCAATGAATAAAATCCAGACTCTTGCTCACCTCTACCCATATGATCCTGGGACAAGAATATAAATCCATATTAACCATTTTAACCACCTTACCACCATCAATACAATTATGACCACAAACTTTCTGCCACAACCTACTCTGTTGCTACTGAATAGCCCCACCACCATCACCACCTCCACTACCAGCACTCATCACCACTCCTCAGCAAAGTCACACCACCCATCACCTCCACCACCATCCTACTTCCTTTAATGAAAACACATAATGATGGAGGGGCTGCTGACAGTCCAGCAAGCCCCATGGAGAATTGGCGTGGCTCACCCTGTCCCATGGTTGCAGGCTGCCCTTATCCACGTGGCCACAGGAAGTGTCTGTCTTGAACTGTTGCTTGGGGCTGACTCTCTGAATCTGTCTTCCAGACAAAAAAATAATGGAGGTACTTTTGTTGGCTTAAGAATCTACAAATAGTGGCGTTTCCTTCTGCTTCTCTTGTGAGCTCCCTGACGAGTTTCTTCTCTCCTGCTCCCTCCCCACTGCTATCTCTTGAACCAGCTGTTGGGAGTTACCATTTTTTCATTGTATCTCTTGAGCCAGGAGGCCAGGCAGGCTGGAGTGGGAAAGATCTGCCATCTGGAGAATCCTGGAAGAAACCTCTAAGTCTGGTGCTTCAGTGGCCTTGGGCGACCCTCTGAGATGTTTCCTGGATGACACTGAACGGCTCTGGAGGAGATGACTCCACAAATAGGAAGCCCACATCCAACCCCAAATCTCAGGCCCTGAACATATCCTGGGCTGCAAGTTGCTAGACGTTTGTGGTCTGTTTTGATAATACAAAGAGAGAACATGTATGCTTGGGACTCATCTGTGTGAAAGAGATAAGGAGGTAGAATTTATTGGTGAAAAATAAATGTTCTGAAAGCAGAGGACAGAGCCCAAACGCTTCCAAACCTGTCGGGTCTGGGACTCTCTATCAGAGAGGGTGTGGAATTATCTTGGGATGCAGAGCCATGTTTTTTTCTTGTTCTACTTGTCTAGTCACAGAGGAGACGAGACACAGGAGATGATTTCCTATTGGGCTGTCTTTGACCTTCTACAGCCCAGCTATTTATTTGGCTTCTGAAACTGTCACCAGAAGCATTCTCAGGGCAACTGTACAGGCCTGCCTGCATGTGGGATATCTATAGGAGGATATAAAAGAAACAGCAAAGAACAGTGGTTGCCTGTGGGGAGGAGAGCCGGGGGGTGGGCTCATAAGGTGATTTTTCTGCTATTGGCTCTTTTATACTTTTAAAACTTTAAACCATTGTCCATTTGAAAATTCTTATTTAAAAAAATGAAGCTGCTGCTTTCTCAATCCCCACCCCCCAAAAAAGATTCTTCATGAGAAACAAAGAGGTAAATTTTTCATTATTTGATGACGATATGTTTTTTAACAGGAAAACATGAGTCTATTAAAAATTATTATAAAGGATAAGATAATATAGAAAGCTGATCTTAAGTTTAATGCATTCTCCATAAAAATGCCACCCAGCCAGTGTTGCTCAGTTGTTGAGCATTGACCTGTGAACCAGGAGGTCATGATTCCATTCCCTGTTGGGGTATACACCCAGGTTGCAGGCTCAGTCCCCAGTCAGGTGGTGGAGGGGGGGGCTGGGAGACGGTGGTATGCAGGTGACAGTTGATTAATTAATCTCTCTCATCACTGATGTTTCTCTCTCTCCCTTTTCCTTCCTCTCTGAAATCAATTAAAAAATATTTTAAATGCCAACAAAATTTTTTTTGACACTAGAAAAGTTGATTCTAAGGTTCAAAAATAAATTTCTAAAGGCTTCCTAGATATCCACACTAATAAAAGAGAAACATGCAAATTGACTATATCTCTGCTATGCCATAAGCCATGCCCACCAGCCAATCAGGAGCAAGTATGCAAATTAACCCAACCAAGATGGCTGTGGCCACAGAGAGATCAGGAGGCTTGGGTTGTCCCCAGCAATGGAGGAAGCCTAGCTTCCTACCCTGCTCTGGCCAGCCCTAGCCTCTGCTCAAGGCTACAAAGTTTCAATTATAGAAGATAAATAAATCCCAGATACCAGGGCCTCCACTTGGGCCGCTAGGGGTGTGTGGCCAGCCTGCAAACCACCACAGTCCCCTCGCCCAGGCTGCCCCATGCCCCCAAGGGATCTCCCACCCTGATCTGGGACACCCTTCAGAGCATACAAGCCAACCCCCACCAGTGCACCAGGCCTCTATCCTATCTAATAAAAGAGTAATATGTAAATTGACCATCACTCCAACACACAAGATGGATGCCCCCATGTGGTCAAAGATGGCTGTTCCCATGTGGTCAAAGATGGCTGCTCCCAGGTGGGCACAGGTGGCCACCTCAAGATGGCCAACAAGAGAGGGCAGTTGGGAGGGAACAGGCCTATAAGAGAGGGCAATTGGGGGTGATCAAACCTGCAGGGAAGGGCAATTAGGGGTGACCAGGCTGGCAGAGGAGGGAAGTTGGAGGCAACCAGGTCTGCAGGGAAGGGCAATTGGGGGGGCGGGGGCGGGGACCAGGCCTACAGGGGAGGGCAGTTGGCAGCAATCAGGCTGGGAGGGGAGCAGTTAGGCATCAATCAGACTGGCAGGGGAGTGGTTATGGGGTGATCAGGCTGGCAGGCAGAAGTGGTTAGGGGCAATCAGGAAGGCAGGCAGGTGAGCAGTTGGGAGCCAGCCTGGATTGTGAGAGGGATGTCTGATTGCCTGTTTAGGCCCAACCCCAGTAGGTACTTTTGTTGGCTAAACAGGAAATCAGACATCCCTCAAGGAGTCCCAGATTGGAGAGGGTGCAGGCTGGGCTGAGGGACACACACCCCTGTGCATGAATTTTGTGCACTGGGCCTCTAGTGAAGACATAATAAGATATTACTGTGCATAAACCAAATGTATGCATTAAGTAGGTGCTAAAGGTGGCAAGTAATATTTAATATCTACCAAAACTTTAAATGTCTATACTTCTGAGTCACCCCTAGATATTCTATCATGCAAATAACCAAATATGTATAAAATAAAATATATACAAGTATATCCATTGCACTGGTGGTTACAATAGCAAAATATTGGAAACTACCTAAATGTTCATAAATAAGGTACTGGACAGATAAATTATGAGACATGCATTCAAAAGAATACAAGTCTGAAAAGAATGAAGTAGCTCTATATCAACAGATACAGAACAATCTCCAAGCTATATTGTTAAATGGAATAAGCAAGCTATAAAACAGTGTGAAAAGCCAGCTACTTTTGTATTCAGGATATGTGTGTGTAGGGAGAATATACATGAATTTACCCTGTTTCCCCAAAAATAAGACAGTGCCTTATATTAATTTTTGCTCCCAAAGATGCGCTAGGTCTTATTTTCAGGGGATGTCTTATTTTTCCATGAAGAAGAATACGGTACACAGTTATTGTTAAATGAAAATAAAGGAAATTTATTACCTGTATATGGTAGGGTAGTACGGTAGTTGTCAACACAAACCAGACAAACTGTGAATCCTACAGTATCAAGAATTTACTCATTTATTCAATGACAATCATGTCATCATCTTCTGGAACATCATCATAACAATCCAATTCCTGAATTTCCTGGTGAATTTCTTGTGACTCCATTTCTTTCAGAATCAGTGGACCAAATCTCTCATGTTTAGCCTAGGGGGAGGCCTTATTTTCAGGGGGGATGCCTTATATTTCACTCAGAAAGAAACCTGTAAGTAGGTCTTATTTTCGGAGGATGTCTTATTTTCGGGGAAACATGGTACTTGTGTTTATCTGCATTAATAAAAGGGGAAAATGCTAATTGACTGTACCTTCGCTATGCTCACAGCCAATCAGAGCGAGTATGTAAATTAACCCAACAAAGATGGTGGTTAATTTACATATGCTGAGGGAGGGAGGAGTGAAGACTGAAGACAGCATAGAAAGAAGAGGGAGGGAAAGGGGAAAGCAAGGTGGCTGCCAGAGGGAAAGGTGGGGTGGGGCCGGGCGGGGTGGGCGGGGCTGGCGGCAGTGGGGGCAGCACATGCGGCAGTGTGCGTGGCCACAGTGACTGCTTGCAGGAATCTTCCTGCAATGGGCCCCTAGTATAAAATATTTCTGAAAAGTTCTTGCTTCTGGAAATTCAGTCCCACAGAGCTTCACAAAAACCCATGATCTAGCAGTATTTCACTTGGGACACTTTGGGGTAGCCTATGATGAAATAGATACTGCTTTGGTTTAACGATGAGTGCATCATGTGAGAAGGATAGAGGGAGGAATGACCAAAAAGGTCTGTTCTGCTTCCTAGCACTTACACCTTTTAACTCCCGTCTCCGGCAAAAAAAATAAAAAATAAAATAAAATAAAATTATCAGCTACTGTGTACCCAAGAATTCATTTATTCATTGATGACACAAATATTTATTGAGCACTGTTGTGCATCAGGAACTTACGAGGCACTGGTAATTCCGTAATAAATGAGATAAATGTGTCCCTGCTACCCAGCAGCTTTTATGAAATGCTTACACCACTAATTACTTACTTACTTGTTATAAAAGAGAGACTTCAAGTTCTAGGACCTAGGTGTGGCAGTCAGGAAAAGCTTCTCTGAGAGAGTGATGTTTAAGCTGAGAAACTGGAAGGATCAATGGGAGTTAGCTAGCTAATGGGGCAAGGGGAGGGGCTGGTGGGAGGAGAGAGAACAGCATGTGAAAAGGCCCTCAGGCAGGGAGCAATTGAAGGAAGGCCATGGAACTGGAGCACAGACTGTGATGGGGAGAGGTGCAGCAAGGGCTAACCCTTGCAGAGTTGAATCAAATGTTTTGATTTTTTTCCCCCTTAGAGTGCTGGGAAGCTATTGAATGGTATTTTAAGCAAGAGAGTAACACAATCAGATTTGTATTTTTAAAAATACCAGGCTGAGTAAAATAAGGAAAATTATTCAGTGCGGGGGGTGGGGGAGTAGAAGAGAGAGGACCAATTAGGGACAAGGTTCAAGGGAGAAATGATGGTGGCCTGGTCACAGGAGTTTTTTGGTTTTTTTAAAATATATTTTATTGATTTTTCTTACAGAGAGGAAGGGAGAGGGATAGAGAGCTAGAAACGTCGATGAGAGAGAAACATCGACCAGCTGCCTCTTGCACATCCCCTACTGGGGATGTGCCCGCAACCAATGTACATGCCCTTGACCGGAATTGAAACTGGGACCTTTCAGTCTGCAGACTGATGCTCTTACGCGGAGCCAAACCGGTTTCAGCTGGTCACAGGAGTTTTGGTGAAGATAGAGGTGGACAGATTTGACAGAAATGTAAGGGGTTAAATTGGCAAGACATGCTAATGGACAGAATGTGAAGAGCAAAGAAGAAAATACATTGAACATGACTCCTAGGTTCAAATAAATTAATTATACTGGTACATTGCTTTACAAAGTACTTTCAGATACATTATCTCATGTGATCTGAACCTCAGTCTTATAAACTAAATAAGGGATCATTATTTCAATTTAATTGGTGAGCTTCAGGGAGTAAACACGTTTATTT